AAAAAAAATTACAATAAAACTTATAAATATGTCAGGGAATGAATTGCCGTCTCCGGATTAAGAATAATTTAATTTACATTCACATTTATTCCATAATTTATCATAATCTAGCCAAATAAATGTTGGGAAGTTGTTGAAATAAAATGAAAACATTTTGTTTTGGTTAACGTAGATACACACAGATTATTTTCCATAGAATGTTTAAAATTTTCCATAGAAGTTTCATATTATTTTTTCAACAAAATTAAAAGGTTTTTCATCAATTAACTAATGTTTTTAATTTCAGTAATATAGATTATATCAAAATTTTCGAGGCATATTTATTAATTTTAATATAATTCTCAGGACAGTTTTTGAAAATGAAAAGAAATGTGAAATATAATTTAAAAAATATCTCAAAAAATATTATCTATAATATTCAATATTCAAAATAATATTGAGTTTTCATTACAATGCAAACACTTTTGAAGAGTATTAAGTACAGTTTTCAAGTGTCTAAAAAATTTGAAAGAATGTATAAGTGAAGCCTAATCTCAAAAAAATTAATCAGAGCAGCTTCTAAATTTCGGAAAGATCTGAGGTTTTATCTAGTATCTAAATATTTTTGAAATTCATATAACCTTGGAAACCGTTCTATTTTCAAAGTATGAGTTCCTATATTACTGAACACATCGAAATCTTTTATAAAGTATATCAGCAAATATTAAAAATATATTAAAAACCGAAGTAGCTGAGTCGCAGTGCAACTTTTCATGTGAACAGCAAAGCATTCAGTTAATATTAATATATCAAACAATACTAGAATGAAAACAAATCATGCGTGATGGCAAATATAAAAAGGACAGCGACAGTTGATGTTACATAAACAGGTTTGATAAACTGTACACTCTGCAAGAGGAACTGACTTTATATAGTTGTATAAAATATCCTCACGACGTCAATGCACTTAGTGCTGCTGATAGGTTGTTTTATTAAATTGATATTTTTTAACGGAATTTTTGTGTAAAATGAGAAATATTCTTTTTTATAATTTCAGACTATTCATTGATATATCTGAATCTCCTTAAATATTACTCTGTGCATATTTATAAGAAAATTACTGTATCCTTTTACTGTAATGTCAAGAAAAATTAATAAAGAAACTGAACTATTGTCGGTAATATACTGTTCAACAATTTCCCTTTGAATAATATAACTATATTAAATTATTGTCACCACTCTGTATATTTAGGTTATTTCTTTTCACGATTGCAGTACAATTGAATAAGAAAACTACATGCTCATTGAAATGGCGCCGGTTTAGTTTCATTACAAAATTGGTCACATACAAAAACCTCTGCCTAACACTGCAAATAAAAAAGTGTAATTGTTGTTGCTTTGACATTGAAACTGAAAGTGTAATTAGACGTGCTTTGAAGAATTAAGGTTTTATAAAGAATTGTTGAGGATTTTAAAAATATTGACCATTATTTTAATGTTTACACTTTTTTCTGAATAATAAGATCCGACGAACCAAATGGATCATACTGACTCGAATCTGTCAACTAGGGTTACCAAAAGGACTTTTTGGAATATTACGCAGTTTTTCAAATAAGGCAGCATTAAAAATGTAGGTAAATAAGATTTTTTTATTAAGCATTTTGGAAAATAGTCCATATAATTTTTTTAAATTAAATTTTCTGTTCTCATTTCAGTCTTACATGTCAAAACTGGGACACCCTGTATATGGTATTGTTTTAAGTTCTTAAAATGGGTAAGAAAATATTTCTTAATACACATAGTCATTCAAAACCTTCTCAAAAATTGTATTTTCTTTTGAAGAGCTTGCTCGTTACTGTTTACTATATTTTTCTTTATATATTTGTTAATAATACATTTTTTTTTGTTATTAACTCTTATCATGAATAATTCAGATATCTATTAAAACAATTTTTTAAAGGCTGGTACTTGAACAAGCCTTGGAAAAAGCCTGGAAAAACCTATCCCTTTAAATGCAGAAAGAAGTTATATAAGTTTTCGCGAAATTTTTCGTGACTGCATTTCGTTTTGATATTCTCGAAATTTGTTCAACGTGGAACAAGCATATAGGGTAATTATTTCTTTGACCTAGATTTTAAAAAACTTTATATTTTATTATTTTTTCAATTTACAGAAGATTATTTGGTACAAATCATCATCTGATGAAGGTAGGTGAAGGTTTGATTATTTGATTATTATGTTAAAACATCTCGGATTAATGTAGATATTTAATTAAATATGTGATATATATATATATATATTTCATTNTATATATATATATTATTCACATTCTGAAGCAACTTTTTTCTTCATGTTCGTTCGTTGCGGTGATAAAGTGAACTAATTTTTACCATTTATCACACACCTTCATTTCTTGTCTTGTTGATGAAATGTCGAATTTTAGAACCTGTGTTTCCTGAGCGTATTAGTAAATAAACAACACAAGTACTTAATAATAATATCTGAATATATTTAAACAAAATGCGAATTTTCCTGGAATCAAGAACAAATGAAATGTTAATATCCCTGGACAGTCATGAAATATTTTTAGATACACGGACTTGCTCCTTGCTCTAGAGACAGGAATATAACTGTATCTGCCAGAAATGCAGGTAAACAACAACCGAGGATCTCCTTTTTGCAATCTGCGAAGAGATTAACTTTTAAATTTATTAACATGCCGAAAATAGCGAGGGATTTTTTTAAAGCTCCATTACAAAATAAAATCCAATTTGTTACAAACGCATTAAACAATGCCCAGAAAGAGAACAAAACGAATTAGTGCTTCCGTATCGTTTTTATAAGGTTTCCTTGAGGTGTCGTTTTCATTAGCCAGAGTTGTTTAAAATCGAGCTTGAAAATTGAAAGTTAGCGAACATTGAACCGTGTATTGCGTTCGGTTTGCTTCATGCTACTTGGCATTAATGCTGGATTGATTTTATAATCCTAAACAAAGGGATTATTATTGCCTTGCAAAATTTTATGCGTTACCGATTGCGAAATTGACGTATTCGACAAACTTTGATTAATGGGTAATTCTTTATTTCTCCCTCGATTACTTCTAATCTATTAATTGATGCAAGTACTCCAGTCGTTTGATTTTTGATACCTATAAGAGTTTCGAAATTATTTAAAATGAGTCTATTTTTTTTTGTTGTTGTATACAAAACACTTGGAATCCCTAAAAATTAAAACGTAAGTAACATTAAGTATTACTGACCAAACTAACCAATGGCGTAGATGAAGGTAAAAGTGCAATAAATTTAACACAAATTAACTTTCGGAGAGATCATTTAATTCTAGGCAAACAGGTGCCTCTTTTTGCTATCATCAAAGTTTCTTGATGAATTATAATAAATTCAAATTGCCATAATTCCAATTTCTTTGCCACAAAAAAAATAAATAATTAAGCATCTTTTGCATATCTTACAATCGTCTAAATTTAAAAAGATAATTAGTAACTGTCACAGTAATCATACTCTCGCAGAAATCATACTCTCACATAAGTCAACAATACTTTTGGAAAACTTTAATAAATAATCCATGTGTAAAAAAAAATAAAGGTTTTTTGGAGCTTATTTACATTTTCTTCTATAAAACTTGATGAAGATATCGCTCTTAATTATTAAAATATACTAAAGTTGCATCTATACGCATACACACAGGATGCATGTTTTTGCTATATATATTAATCATACACTAACCGTTATAAAATGCATTCCTATTTATATTTATCCTATTTACATTGAAGTCATAAGAAATAAGATTCATTAAAACATGATATCATGTTTATTCTTTCTATTCTAGAGAAAACTATATTCAGAATTGAACTTGAAATTATCTGTCATGGAAGTGAAACTGGATAGTAAAAATAAAATAAAAAGCGCAGTTTTTTAATTGACCCGTTGATAATAATTTGGAAAATAAAATAAGCGGCATCGAAAAATTATCTAATAAGCGAACAAAGTCATGTTTCTAAATATTTGAGGATAGGAAAACATTTTTTCGATCAGTTAAAATTTTGCACCCTGTATATTTTTCCATATTTGGACAGAATGCTTTCTCAGAGTTACAGTTACACATGAAATTTCATGAATCTATCTGTAATAAGGAAAATAGTCAAAAACTGCAATGCATTATGGCAGTTACACACGTAATGATAAGACTTATCTGCACAGATCAAACTATGCAGGTTTTTCTAACAGATGGATAGGCTGCTTGATTTGCACATATATTTGTACCTTGTGGATGGTGCAAATCGTTACGATTTATCATTACGATTTAGCGTTACTTGTGTAACCGGCATTAGACAAGACTTGGTACGTGGTACGGACAATAATTTCTTCTTAACAGCAGAGCTTTTTAACCGTATTTCCCTTACTCTTAGTGTAAGAAATAAACCCCTTACAACATCACTGTAATCTTAAATAAGTGGTTTAAGCACATACCAAAAATATACAGGGAGTACATAAAAAAGTGGGAGATACATTAATTTTAAATTTCAGAAAAATGTACATTTTTAACATGTTTTCCATCTACAAAAACAACGTCTGAAAGTGTAATGCAAAGTATAGAGAAACCCATTATGCACTTAAATGATTAATTACTGAATATTATCGTATTGTAATTCACTTACAGCAAATATATTTTAAGCGTTTCGTGTAGAAATTGTTTTTTCTTATCAGTGAAACAATTATACTATATCGTGGATGTGGGTGCTTAGTCATTTTTCCAAAGTAGATAAACATTAATCTTAGTAGTTACAAATGATTGTTGTATAAACAACATCTACCTAAAGTCAAAATACTAAACAAGACGTTCGACGACAAGTGTTACAATTAGTAATAGTTGCAAAACTATTTGGTTTAAAGTAAGCACCTCTGTTGTCATTCATATCTGACATTAAAATCTACCAACGCAACTTCTTGCGCAAAATTTGCATGAAAAAATATTGCTACAACCTTATTATACTAGCAATTCACCAATCAAAGCCTTATTATATCCAAGAGTTACACAATACACCACTTTTCATTTTTAATTCCACTTTTTTGGCACACAATCACATTCCCCAAACACAAACACACTTTTTTTCCAAAACTATAACACAAAAACGGAACCGTTCGAACGTTTCAAGCCGGCATTGTTTACACGAAACATTTCACTTACTTTAAGCGATTTGAAATTACTACACGGCGTTCGCGATTCTAGTTGTACACTTGCCATGTGACAGGTGGAAAAAACGCGTTCATTCGCCGACCATGTGATTAGGAGAAGGTGGGACCATCGCGACTGCTGGTGCTTCAGCTGGATCGCGATCGGAGGTCCGCTCAAGTCGATTCACTTGGCGAAACGCTATCTTAGCCATTCACTACTGATGTGATAGTGAAAACAGATATTATTTTTCCCACTATTTGTTGTTTATTTACTGACTCATGGTCCACATTTAAGCAATATCGAAAACAAACTGGAGATTTCGATAGTTTGGTTAAAAATGTTAAGGTTGTTTATTATTAATTAGTCCTCTTAATTAATCCACAGCTCTGTAAAAGTAGATATTGAATTATTTACCAATACTAAGAACTGACTTTTTTGGAGGAAGAAGAATTTTCCATATACAGGGTGGACCACCAGTAACGCCTCGGTGGCTAGATACCAAACGGCAAATGTTATAGAAACTTGTTTAGGTGGGTATGTGTAGGTTGATTGATTACGGCTACACTTTAAATATATTTTGAAATATACAGGGTGTTCAGGAAAAGCGTACCATATGAAAGTTATGTATTTTTTTAATGGAACACCCTGTATTTTACAAAATTTTTGAAAGCACCGTAAGAAATAGGTGAACTTTATTAAAGCTTATGCATGCCTAGGACTTGTGACTTGTTTGTGAGATAATCCAATTTCAGTGAAAATGCAGGCTTAGAGTAAAAATTTAATATTAGTAATAAAAAAATAATTTTAAGGAAGCAGCTTTGGAGTGTGTATCTTCGATCCTTAAAATTATAAATTATTATATTTGTCGTCACTTAGTATTGTACAGAGTGTTCAAAAAACTGCTGAATACTTCTCTCAACTTTAAACAGCAATAACTTGGTTATTTTAAATGGGACGCCTAGTACATTTTTTCTGGAAGTAAGGAAATTTAAAACTCTTTCGAATTGTGTATTTCTAACGGTTTTGGAGATATTTGTGCCGTTTCGTTTTTTATTGAATTTTTTTGTAAGATGTATCCACGTGGCTTCATCGAAGTCTTTATTGAATTGGTAAAGCGTCAATCCGCAGAATATTCAAGAAAGTTTTCTAGTAAAAAATATTATTTTATAAGCAGAATAATTATAAAATGTTGTTAATTTTGTTGTACGGAACTAAATTAAATTAATTAGGAACAACAGGAAAAATATTTATTAAAGGAAATTTTACTTTTAGAAGAAACAGAGAAAAATTTTAATTGATGATCGAATTGATAACCATACTTTTGAATACAGCATCTTATTCTATCTTCAAATGATATTGTCACATTCCTTAGAATATCTGGGGTGATTGTGGCAAGTGCATCTCTAATCTTTTCCTTCATATCATCGCAAGTAGTAGGTGGAACCTACTACTTGCGATGGAACCTACTACTACTGAGGACTATCTAGGGAGCCACTAATAAGCACCATTCTTACTTATCCATTTATTACTAAATTTTCGATTTAAATAATTTCTCACAATATGAAAAATTTGAAGGTGCGCCATTTAATTGCTTCCCATTTTTCTCCTTATATGTAAAGAGACGTCATCAAGAAGAACCCAAACCAGTTCAATAAAGACTTCGATGAAGACGCGTGGACACGTCTTACAAACAAATTTGATAAAAAACGACTATTACATTTAGCTGATATAAGTTTAAAAATATAAAATAACAACGCATTCACTTACCCACCACCTTCTACTAATTATAAATGAATTTTGTGATATGGTACTGTTATTTATACGAATATGCAGATGCAAATGTATTATTTATTTAGCCAAATTATAGATAACAAAAAATTCTGAAACATTTTTACATGGGAAAGTAAAATGCAAATTCCGTAAATCCAATAGTAAATAGGTCTCCTGTATATCAACTTTAGACAGCAAATAGTCTTGAAAGACTTCTTTAAGAGGGGTGTTTATACAGGGTTGGAAAATCCACATGGTCCATCTGCCTTTACATGAGAGCGACAAAGTAAAGTAAAGAAATCCGTGCGATAGATAAGGATAACCGCCCGTTTGGGGTTAGAAGTAGGAGTGACTATTCAGATTATGTAACATCTTCAATGTAACCATCCCTATCTATCGCACGAATTTCTATGACTTACTTTATCGCTCTCACGTAACGGCCGATGTACCATGGGGACTTTCCGAACCTGTATATGTGCAATTTTTTGTCCAGCATTTTAGAAAATCCAAGTTAGTTAGAAACGATATCTCTTCACTGTACCCGTTATATAAGTTTTCTTCAGGGTATAAGACGACTGACATTACATTCAAAATAAGGGAAAAAACATATTTTTACATAGTATGTTTAACTTACGTTTCCTGAATTTTGCACGCTTGTTGAACATTGAAAATCGCGTACGGTATTATAAACAAAATCACACTCCGCATTAATCACAATTATTGAGTATCTTCACAAATTTGCTGAACAAAACAGGAAAGGAACATTTTCCGTTGTTTACAATCATGTTCTCCGTGACCTTCCAGTGCGAAAAATTGAAGGAAATTGCTCTAGTTTAGCGTTACGCTTCGTCACTTCCAGAATGGATCAACTTGTTCTATCATTGTCATACTAAAAGTGCGATTTCTTGTTTATAAAACGCCAACCTTAATACGAAATTATTTAATCTTTAAACTGACTCTAATTGTTACGTATTTATTTAGGACAGAGTTATGTGCATTTCTAAATCTTCCTCCTGAACAGTTTAACATTTTGGTCTTACTGATTTAACAGAATAAGACAACGATTTTCCATGAGACCTGGATTACCATATCTATTCGTTTATTCATTGACTCATCTAGTATAAAATTTAATGTTTATAAATAACTTCTGTATGTAAAGTTTACTGATTGATATTTGAAGGTTCTTAATCTACCGCAAAACATAACGGATGAGAAGATGTCACAATCAGTGATGTAATACTGTTTGTACAGTTTATCCACGTCGCGTTTCATTGAAATTATATTTTTCTTGCAGTAAAAAATTGCATGTATGTACCATTTGGATAGTATTCAAGGTACAACAGTGACTGTTTATACTTTCAACCCTCTACTACTTTCCCATTGCGCATCTAACTTTCAGGACACCTGCGATTACGTTACTAAATTAACAGGAAATAGACATGTATAGTTCTATGACATTATTTTTATACTGTCCTTCTGTTTGGATTTCTATTTTTGATAGCTATTTTCAGAAAAAGTTTAAGAGATACAAATGTTATAATTGGTATACCCAAATATCTTTCAAAACCTTTTAAATTGCCATATCACTAGATAGAAGCTACGAGTACAGTGTACCTAGTAAATTTTATACTTGAATTTTTAAAATTGTTCACGAATAATCATAAATACTACTCTTATTTATTTTGCATTATTCTGAGTGATAGTCATTTCTTAATTAAATCAATTACTTATTATACCTACTAAAAATTAAATAATGTCAATTGAATAATTGTCCACAATATAATTTAATAGTACTTCCCGTAGTGTGTTATTTATTTTTAATATATTTTAAATATTAAAAAAAATCTAGATATAATTTCTGGCTCAAAAAATCACGTTCGTATATTCCAACACCATATTTGTGCTTAGATTGTTGGACAATCTATAAAATTAACTGTTTTATTCTTATTAGTCACCCGTGCCATTTTCGTTATACAGGGTGGTCCAGTTTCCGATGCGGAAACTTCAGGGACCGATAGAGATTCAAAAAATAATATGAGTTTGATATATAAACTATATTCGAAAAATCCTTCGTTAAGGAAATACAGGGTGTTCAAGATTGGTTTAAAAAAATCAAATTTATTAATTATTGACAAATGGCTAAAGATATTTCAATTAAATTTTGTAGACGTTAACTACCATTGAAAGAGCATGTTTTGCAATGTAAAACATTATTTTTAGTTTTGCCAGTGGCGTCCGTACTAGCACGTTACTGGATATTTCTAAAGAAAAAATTGGTACGCCACTGCTTTTACATAAAATAAATATCAGTTTTGGATTCTTTATTCACTTTGGAAGAAAAAAGCTCTCTTTCGATTTTTCTGTACGACTCAGCATTTTCAAAGTGATCTTTGAAAAACAATTGAATAAGTACCACAAAATATCAAATTTATCTGTCAAATTAATTAGTAACTGTGTCACATTTAGTTAGCTGTCTAGTAATTTGATTTGTAATTCTTGCTATTGTTATAGTTATTATTAGTGTTATCCTGAAAAATGCTTTTTAGTAACGAAGAATACGCAGATATTCATTTTTGTTACGGATTTTGTGATGGAAATGCGGAAGCGGCAGTTCGTGAATATCGAAGACGTTATCCAAATAGAAGAATGCTCGTGTCTTCATTGAAACACATCAAAAGTTTCGTAACTTTGGCCTGCGTGTTAACAATGAACGTAACAGAAACCGTCGCAATAACAATCGGAATCGTATTATTCGTACTTTTGATGACAATCCGAGGCTCAGCTCTCGCAGGGCAGCTCAGCGACTACAAATATCCAAGTCTCAAATATTACGAACATTACGTGATGACCACAGGCATGCACATCACCTACAGCCCGTTCAGGATTTACACCCTGGGGATGCTGAAAAGCGAATGAGGTTTTGCAAGTGGCTTTTAAACACGACGGAAGAAAATCCTGACTTTTGCACAAAATTCTGTGGATGGATGAATCCTCATTCAGTAGACGTGGAATAACGAATTACCACAATATCCATGTTTGGGCACACGAAAATCCTCGAGAAATTCGGCCACGATCATTTCAATGAATTTGATGAATTTTCCGTAAATGTTTGGTTGGGAGTTTTTGATAATAATGTTTGTGGTCCACATTTTCTACTCCCAAGGTTAAACTCAGAACTATTTCTTGAATTTTTTACTAATAACCTGCAGGATTACGTCGAGGATATACCCATTAACTTAAGGCATGAAAGTTGGATACAAC